ACAACCGGCAAGACGTCAGGCCCGTAGACTAGTGGTAAGGGCATTGGACCCTAACTAACAGAATAACGGGTTCGAAACTCGAGCGTGGCAGCAATTTTCGCTGCTACATTGTAATTGGGTATCTCCAGCTGACGACGGCTAATAAGCCAGAAAAGGCTTTCCTGGAAGTCCCTGTGTTGACAGTAAAATGTCCTAAAATGGACTACATATTCCCTTGTCCTAAACCTTACATTGGCCCTAACTGAAGCCTAAACCGTAATCCTATCGCCACTCTTAACCTCTAACCCTACAGTTATCACTAACTCTTAATTTAACTTTAACCTACTTGTACGCTATCCTGAACTCTTAGCTAAAACCTTACCTTAAATTTAGCGTTTAACATAATCCTCATCCTATTTTTCACGAAATTTGGCAAAAGCGCACCTGCACTGCGGGCCAGAAATGGTCATTTCAGTCTGCCTTGTCTGTGCCTAGACTGCTAGCCGCTACGGCTGTCGTCAGGGCCCAAGAAATTAGGGCCATGGCAGAGCGAGTGGCCAGTGAACGTACATCAACGACTTAACTCGACCTGAACTAACCTTAACGCTAACCTGCACTCTTAACCAAAGCCTTATGTTAAATTTAACAATAAACGTAATCCTAACCATATTTTCCACAGACTATGAGGCTAAGGCAACTGCTATGCGGGCAGCTCCTGTTTTTGTGTTTTGTTTAGAGGCTATATAAGTTATCTGTACCGCATCTTCTTCTTTTAGTTACTTCCGGTGTATCAGAAAACTATGTCAATCTGCTCAGGCATAGCTAATAACCCGCATCGGCTAGAGTAAGGGAATTACTGAATTATTAAAGTTTCCATTCTTACAAACGAGTAATCGGAAATGCGGTTTATCAGTATTTTTGCAGCCTAAAACGGAAATGTTGTTTTTCCTTTGATTCTACTCATTAACCGTGGTTGCCGCAGTATGACTTTTTTCAGAGTACCTTAGCAATTTGTTACTCTGGCGAACACAAACGCTATTGACATGCTTCGGTCATTTTTGTCTTTCGCTACATTGCAGAATCCACAACGAATAAGTGCAATAAGTTGACGCAGCAGGGTACCTCGTCCATGTCTTCAGCAAGGAAGCAAGAACCCAATCTAACGGTCGCCCGCCGAAGCATGACCTCCTTTGTGGGCACACTGTTTGACGCCGGCAATTCTCTATCTCCCACGGGAGTGCGCTATAAGAAGAGACTAAAGTGGGACTGTGCCAATGGCATGAACTACTTTCTCTCTGATGAGGACTGAAACAGCCTTGGCCGCCTACCGGAACCGATGTTTTATCGATTTTTTTATAATCGCTGACTCAGCTGAAAGTTTAGTGTAACAGATACTTTGAAGAAGCTTACGAAGCTGCTGAAATGAAACCTATGTTTTATATAACTTTTGACGCTTTTTGGGCCAGAAAAGGTCTAAAATATGGATGAAGACCGGGACTTTTGAAAGTTGTTTCGAATTTAAGCTCTTTGCGCTTACGAGGTTTTTAGTCTCTACCTTAGT